CTTGGAGCGCGGCGGCAGCTGACTGCGCGTTTCCGATCCGCTGGGAGCCGCGAGCCCCGCCGCCGTTATGAACATCCGCAATGCGAGGGTGAGGGGCAGGGGCGGGAGGCTGTCCGCGCCGCGTGGGTGCGGGCCCGGTGGCCGCGTGCGCATGCTCCCGAGGGGTCCGGCCGAGCCCCGGGCCGGCAGCCCCGCGTGCCTGCGGCCGCAGGGCACGGACAGGTGAAGGCCACCATCCCGGTGGGGTGGACCTACCGGAACAGGGATGTCGGGGCTCCGTCGGATGGTGTCCCGGAGCCTCCCGGCGCGCAGCTCCATTCCCGGAACAGATGATCTTTGCACAGCGGCAGTGCGCCGCGCCTGTGCAGACAGATAGTCGCGGCGCCCGCCCAGCCCTGCGGGGGTGGGGGTCGGTGAGTAGACAGGGAGCAGGGTTCTAACGTGGCCGAGGCCTCCTGAGTCACCACAGCCCCTGGCCTTCCCGCCCCGCAGCCGGAGGACCTGATGAACATGCAGCACTGCAATCTCTTGTGCCTGCCCGAGAACTACCAGATGAAGTACTACTTCTACCACGGCCTCTCCTGGCCCCAGGTGCTTGTCCCTGCACTTTGCGGTTGGCGGGGGGGGGGGGGGGGGGGGGGGGGCAGGGGCAGACCCAGGGAAACCCAACAGGGGCAGATTTCGGAGCACCGGCAGTGGGGTGTGCCGAAGGAAACCAAGCCACTGGCCCGGGAGGTCAGGAGCTGTCACTGAACTCGCCACCCGTTCGGTTCCTGTCATGCACACAGTGACAGGCTGGCAGCGGGACCAAGTGTCTGCCGAGGCCTCCTCCAGCTCTGACAGGAGGTCCTTTTCTGACTCCTCTCTTCTCCCTGTCACCTACCTAGCTCTCTTACATCGCAGAGGATGAGAACGGGAAGATTGTGGGGTACGTCCTCGCCAAAATGTGAGTCACGAAGGAAGGAGACAGAAACCGTATGCCAGAGTTGGGGGTGGGGCGTGGATTTGGGGGGTGGGCATCAACATGTGCCTGCTGGGTCTGCGTGGATTGCTTTTTCTTGTTTTAATTAATCAAGAGACTGTTTTTTAGTTCAGTTTTGGGTTTACAAAAAGTCGGGTGGAAAGCGTAGAGAGTTCCCGTGTACCTCCTGCCATCTGCCCCCTAGTTTTCTGGATCATTAGCATCTTGCAGTACGTTGGTGACAGCTGATGGACCAGTCTTGCTACGTTTTTACTACAGTCTATACTTTATGTTAGGGTTCACTGTTCGCACGGTAGCCTTCTATGGATTTGGACAAATGTATAACAACCCCTATTTACCTGCCTTTACAGAATCAGAAGGAGTTTCACTGCTCTAAAAATCTTGGGTGTTACTGCATTTCTCAT